CTGTCCTGGCAGCTGAGCACCTTGCCTCTGAGTGTGATCCTGGTGTATTCAGTCTGATATGTAAAAACCAATGCCAGTTGTACAGTAAAGGAAGATATTTTATACTCATCAGTGAGTTTGTCTGGCAAGGCCACAGTCTGAGGTGGTGTTGAGCATTTTAAATGGAGTAGATAATTCAGAATCAATACCATTAAATATAAGGAGGCAGAGTCTGCCTGTCTGTATGCTGGGTAAGTCAATGCAGCAATTACCCAGGGACTGAAATGAGGGAAGAGGTGAAATACCTGAAAAAGGAGGAATGCTGATCCTTAGGAATCTGGGGCTTATCTTGCGATCATAATACTGACTTCTGGGGATACCTTTTGTGATGTGTTAGAAGTTGTTTCACAAGAAGAGTAATGGGATAAATGATGCTGATTTTTGGCATAAAATCTGCCATTACAGTATTTGTTTGTGTAAATCTGGTGTCAGGAATTGCTGGAAATCACGATCGTTCTTATGATTTGCTTTGTGATTCTGAAAAACTATGTTCCCATTATATTAGCAGACCAGAAACAGTATTTAATAAAATACAGTTACTGGTAAGGGTGGATGATATCAGTGTTATAACTAGAAACAAAATTTGTAGGTATTGAACAAAAGTGATACAAACTGCAAGTGTGGAGTGGCTCAGTGAATAGCACAAAATGTCAATTTTGGCATAATCATAAGGAATAGCTTTTAAATAGCCACAGCCTTCCCAGTCTTTGAGGAGTGCTCAAAGAGCTGCTTGGTTCTAAAAATAAAATAAAATTAATATTAAAATTACCTAATAACACTCCCTTCAGATGTCTGTTAACCTGAACAGCTAAAATTTGGAGGTTATCAACTAATTGAAGTGGAAGCTGATGGACAAGTCACCAGGCAGTGAACTGAAAGCACATGTCCCTGGCTGGCACAGGGCTTCAGATTGAAGACTTCTTCAGGATTCTTCTGCTGCTACACGTGCATTCTCTACACAAAAATCATGGTCTAATCATGATGGTTTCTTGGTCACCTTCGGTAATCATTGTTATACTGAAATCATCATTTCAAACCTTAAAAGTAGGGATGGTCTCAACTTGACAGCAAATACTCCAGATGAGTACCATGAGAGATTTGAGGTCAAGACGTTCAAAGCTATGGTAGAGCACATGTGAGGGTAGAGTAAACAACTGTTTATAAGTATAACTGAAATACTTAAAATATTTTAGCCAATTCAAAGTAAGTGGTGAGATAGGTGGCTTGCCTTCTGGGAGTATTTCTTGACCCACTTAGTTGTCAGTCTTTTGTCTCAGAGATGAGTGGTAATTATAGCTTTAATGCTTCCTCTCGTTTCAGGTGATTGTAATTGTGTGTCTGTTCCTTCTAAGATTGTGGTCTCTGGTTAGGCTCTGGATTTTGTGTAGTACAGCATAGTATCCCTAAGTGAGATCATGTTGCTATGCTTCAGGCCAAATCACTTTCCATTTTACAGTTAATTTGGAAAAGGTAACCTCTCTAACCACTCTGTGTCTTGTTTGCAAATTCAAGTCATACAGGCTATTCTATTAAATATTCTTCCTAGAAGGAAATATTCATTAGTGTAGTTTTTAATCTAAATAGACTAAAACATATGTATTAAGATGCAGTTTGTGTGGCTTCAAGTACCTTAAAGTCACTTGCTACACTTTACAGAGCTTCTATTTTATTTGTTAGAAAGTTGATGACCTCTTATCACCTCCATTCTAATTCTTGAACTCTTCGCTATCTGACGCTGAAGTCTGTAACCAGTAATGGTGTATGTACCCTGACTTTTTGTTATTGTTCTGTATGCTCTTTGGTGCTATTTCCCTACAGATTTTCTCATCTGGTTGGAGTTTCTTTGGAGCACTTCAGAGCAATTTAGTGTATGTAGCTAAGAGAAAAAAGCCATTTTAGACCAGTGCATCATAAAGGCTTGTTATAGCAAAAGTACTTTTGAAAGCAACTTCTTTTTGAGAAGGAAGAGGCCACTCTAGCTTGCTGTCTTAAAGATAAGTTTGTCAAGTGTTTAAAGCAGAGCTACTCATTGTAGTACCTGACCAACTGGGCTGCAGGCGTTGATCAGACGGTCAGGCGTTCAGTTCATTAGTTTGCATGTGCGTGTGGTAGGTGTGTGTTTATGTTCAGTAGTACCACTTGAAATCCATTGTTTGACAAAGGCTCATTTCACTTGTGTTTAAGGAAGTCTTTGCATTCTGCACTTAGGGAAAATAAAGGCCATCAGCTGGAATAAGCAGAAGTAGGCAATCTAGTTTTATTTTGCCTTTTGTCATGCTATTTATGACTCAGCAGTTCATATCCAACAATAATTAAAATCAAGAAGTTGTCATGCAAAAACAAAATGTTATGCTGCTAATTTAAGAAGGATTTCTGTCTTAAACTTGTTGCCGTGGTTATTAGACCATTTTAATTGGATCCGGATTTTTGCTGCTGTCAAAATATGGTACTGTTTTCTTTACATCTCACCAATTACTTAAGTGTTCGTTAATTACTGAAGGTTAATGTCCAGATTGCCCAAAGCGTTTGCTGGATGTACTGAACCATAATGTCACACGTTGATCATTTTAATTACTCGTGGGATTACTTAGGCAAACAGGCACATGCAGAATTTTGTAGCATCCAGTAAAAATTGGTAGGTAAAAACTTGAGAGAATAAAGGTGTCCTTGTCAAATAGTAAAAATACACTGCACGAAGCACTGTGTTAAGGCAATCTTTGTCTCAAAAGGTTAAAAGTAAAGTAGTATAAGAGTGTTACAGATAGGGAAATGGAGTTACCAAAAGATACAAATATTCTCATTGTCTGGGTTGGTTAGTTGGTTTGTTTCGGGATATCTTGAGGCCAGTCTCAGTTGCATTCAGTATCTATGAAGTATATTGAATAGGTATTAAAGAAAAGAGGAATTTAATAAAGTAGATCTGCGCACACCTGAGAAGAGGCAGTTTAAATGTGAGGAGCAGTAAAATAAAACAACTGCAGAAGTGTTCAGAAATATAAATACATGGACTGGCTTCACAGGTCAAAGATACTCCAGGAAACAAGAAGGCGGAGGGTGAGCGGGGGGGGGGGGGGGTGAGGAAGGGATGAGGGGAGGAAGTTGGACAGAAAGAAGTAAATGCTTTCAAGACTGGAGTCTTGAAAGGAAGACAGAGGAGTAGAAATGTTACTGGTCCTATGAGTTAATTCATTTCATTAACTGCACCTGAATCATGATAAATTAAACAGTGTCAAACTAACTGGTTACTCACTTTGATTGGCTTGTTATTTTTTTCGTATTTTATATTCAACTTGGTAAGAACTGACAATGTTATTTCCTCAAATGTTTTTTGAGTATATCAACTCCTGGCTTACGTTTGGTGATTGTTATCTTAGAAGACCGGTGTTCAATCGTATAATCATTAAGGGTAGAAAAGACCACATCTAATTAGAACATCCAACTGTCCACTTATCACCCATATTACTCACTAAACCATGTCTCTCAATACAACATCTAAATGTTTCTTGAACACCCTCCAGGATGGTGACTCCATCACTTCCCTGGGCGGCCCATTTGAGTCCCTGACCGCTCTTTTGGAGAAGCAGTTTTTCCTAACGTTCGATCTGAACCTCTCCTGGTACAACTTGAGGCTATTCTCTCTAGTCCTATTGCTAGTTACACAGGAGAAGAGGCCAACCCCTACCTCACCATATCCTCTTTTTGGGTAGTTTTAGAAGGCAGTAAGGTCTCCCCAGACCTCCTTTCCTCAAGACTAAACAATCCCAGTTCCATCAGCTGCGCCTCATAAGGCCTACGCTCCAGACCCCTCACGGCTTCATTGCCCTTCTCTGGATCTGCTCTAGAGCCTCAATATCTTTCTTGTGGTGAGGAGCCCAAAAGTGAACACAGCACTCAAAGTGCAGCCTCACCGGTGCAAAGTACAGAGGGACAATCACCTCCCTGCTCCTTCTGGCTGCACTGTTTCTAATTCAAGTCAGGAAGCTGTTGTCCTTCTTGGATCATGTTCAGTCAAGCATCAACCAATGCCCCCGGGTCCTTTTCCTTTTCAGTTTTCTGGCCACTCTGCCTGAGGCTTGTAGCATTGCCTGGGGTTGTGGCCAAAGTGCAGGACTTCGTGTTTGGTCCTGTTAAACTTCATCCCATATGCCTCGTCCCACCTATGCAGCCTATCCCTGTCCCTCTCTGTGTAGGGCCTTCCTGAGCTCAGACAGATGGACTTTTCCTTCCATCTTGGTGTCATCTGCAGATTTAGAGACAGTGCACCATGTTGCAGAGCTGGCTACAGTTACTTAAATGAACTCCTGTAAATGCTTCAAAAGGTTGCTAATGCAAGTCTTTCTCTTGCACATGTAGAACATTCAAATTAGTGTTACAAATTGGCAAAATAGATGCACTTAGCATCTTCAGCTACTCCAATTTCTTTAAAAGTTTTTTTTTCTGCTTTGAAGTTTAAATAGTTGGTTTATGCTTATTATGTGTTTATTGCGGTCTCATGTTGTAGGAATGCTTGGTGGAGAAATGGAATTTGTTAGGTGATGAGTCTGAAGTTGAAAAGGTGACTCATTGGTTTCATCTGTTAATAACTGAAAATCCACCAATGCATTTCTTAATACTCAAAGTTTTTCTGCAGATGCAACCTAATATTTTGTACACAAATAGAGCTCTTTGAGAAATTCCCTGAGGCATTTTTTTTAAGTATGTGCTTTTTTTTTTTTTTTTTTTTCCTATGCAGTACCTATTCCTAGCAAAGGCAAGCATGCATCACTTTGCAATTTTAATCATTCTATACTGTGCTGTGTTTTATCGAGTTAGTATTCTGGACCGCTATATTTCTGAAATTTGTTTGAAGATTCAATAAGTTCGCTTATAAAGACCACAATGCCTGTGTCTCAGGGAAATAAAAATGAGTAGAGTGAAGTCTGCTGCAATGTAACTTATAACCAATTATTTTCACTTTTCAGATGTTCCTCCTGCTGATCAAGAAAAGCTTTTTATCCAGAAGTTACGACAATGTTGTGTACTTTTTGACTTTGTTTCTGATCCACTAAGTGACCTAAAGTGGAAGGAAGTAAAGCGAGCAGCTTTAAGTGAAATGGTAGAATATATCACACACAATCGCAATGTGATTACAGAACCTATTTACCCTGAAGTAGTACATATGGTAAGTGACGGGAACCAGTCTGATTATTTTTTTTAACTCATACTTGTTTCTTTAGCTACATAAATCTATTTTAAAAAACCTTACTGAAATATTCAGAGATCAACTGCCCTCTGTACATCAGCAAAATGGTAACATAACTGTGTTTTTAAAAATCTTTTTGCCATTGTTGGCTCATCTTCTTTGTACGTTAGAACTTGGGTACTGTTGTGGTTTAACCTGGCAGCAGCTCAGCACCATACGGCTTGTGTTCATTCCCTGCTCCTAGTGGTAAGGAGAGGATTGGCGAGGGAAAAAGAAAGTGGAACTCATAGGGTGAGATTAAAAACTATTTACTGAGACAAAAAAGGAAGGACAAAATAATATTAATGGTGGTAATAATGAAGATAATACTAATGATAGGTATGTACATATAAATATGAATGTGTGCATATATGATACATAAGCCAAGTGGTATACCGTGCAGTTGCTCACCACCAGCTGACCGGTGCCCAAGCAGCTACTGCCCCTGGCCAACTTCCCCCAGTTTTTATAGTTCCACATAATACTATATGGTGAGGAGTATCCCTTTGGCCGGTTTAGTTCAGTTGTTCTGGTTCTGTCTCTTCCCAGCTCTGTGCACCTCCAGAAAACTCTCCTTTTTTCCCCATAGATTTCTTCTGGAATAGATATTTCTAAAAACTGGGGAAGTTAAATATGTCTAGTTTTTAAAAGAATGTAGGAGAATATTTTTGTAAGGTGAGAATTAAGTTCACTTGTGGAAGCTTGGCACTTGATATTATGTAACTACATTCAGTACCGTTGGTTGAAATTGATTTTTTTTTTTCCTGCATTCAGAGCTGAGAATGAGAGTTGGACCTTATATTGTACACAGATGAGAATTCTGCTGGAACAAGCTATATGAACTCCTTAGACCTGTGCCGTTTCTCCCCTTTACTATTTAGTCCCAAGCCTATTAGACCTGCTTTACTTTTGTGTCATATTTAAGTACGCTCCAGAGAAGTCAACTATGAAACTACAAGAGAATCTTTCTGCCCTCATTGTGGTGGCTGGACATCAGTTGCTTGGAGTAGCAATTGGGCTGGGAACAATGATATATTTTCAAGTCACTAACTGCAGAGTTTGCAAACTGCTCTTGATTGTATGTTACACGAATGTGTTTTCCTGTGATCTGTAATAGCTTGGGATGAGTTTTCAGGGTGATGAGAAAATATATGTTTAACGTAAATATAATATAAACTCAGTAAGATTGTGAGGTCGTGCTCCAAATCAGAATCTTATAGGTTCTTCAGAGTACATTCTAAGAAATTTTACTATTAACTTAAAAAAAAATTACTTCTTACCTGAGTCCACCATAAATGCTTACTGATAGATGCCACTTTCATGAGAACTTGTCTGTGTGAGAATTCCTAATAACTCTATATGTCAAAAATACAGGAAGCACAGAGGATGGTTAATGACCAGATGTGGGTTTGTGTCTGGATAACCTACTTCTATTTTTGCTAATTGATTGTTTGACACCACTGAAAAGGGAATTGTTAGACAATAAGCTTGCAAAGATTTTGCTTAGATAAAACTGAATTCATGATGGAAGGCTTGAAAATCTTGACTGTGGGTTGGAGTCTTAGCTGTCCATGGATTGATTGTATGAGGAGTCTTAGCTGTCCATAAATTCATAACTTCCATATTATGATTCTTCCTCTGTCCAAAAACTGACAATAATACATTTGCCCAAGAAGATATATGCTGCTTTTGCTTTTACATGCAACTAGTGGTAATAGTGTGTATTTCTCTCAGTCTAATACATTTCAGTGTAGGATTTGATACCTTAATCGCTAGTATTCTGCTATGAGCTCACAGAATCTTTCAGTGAACTTAAAATGCTTTCCACACGTTAGATTCTAAAGGGTGTGGACTTCCTTCCATGGAATTTAGACAGCATTGTGATACACACTGTCGGTTATTGGACCTGGACTAATACTTAGAGGTTAAATTCAGATGGCAAAATGAAGTCCTCAATATGAATGTGTGTGCCAGAAAGAAAGAGAATTACAGTACTACTGCAGGAGGAATATGGTTGTTTCAGGACAGATAATTGAGAGAAAACTGTTCATAAAAGCAGCCTTTAAAAATTGCTAAGTTCTAGCAGTGGCTTCATGAATTAATTATGTGGATTTTAAGGTAAAAGAAATCTAATGACTTCTGTGTGCTTTAGGGGACCTGTCTACATCTGTCTGTGTTAGGACTCATTGCACCAAATTTGGCATAATCCATCAAGTTCAGCATCCTGGTATTGCCAGTGATGAGTGTAGAAGGTACTCTAAAAAGTGAAGTCTTTTTTTTTTTTCTTTTAATCTGTGGATGGCAGTGCCATTCTGTCCACCTTCATGTTTGCCAGTTACTCATCTGTTTATGAGTTTTTACTTATGTGCATGGTGCATGGTTTTGTAAGTGCGTATATGAGATTTTTTTGGTTTTTTTCGGTTAACATACTGCCATAGGTTAGGCCAAGTACTTAGGGCAATGATTTCTACAAGTTGTTTATTTAATGGTAATAAGAAATTTTTTTAAATAAAAAAGTTTTCCTTTTTTGTTTTCATCTTTTATTTTTTATTTGCTCTGATAAGAGCACTCTTTAAAATTCTAGTGATCATGTCATGTTCAATTCCCCTTCTGGCCCCTGTCTCTATTCTTGCTTCAGGTACCTTTGGCAAATGTGTGGTTAGGTCTTCTCTTTAAACAATATATTCATCTGGTGGATGAATTCAGTTATTTAACCTTAATAACAAATTTCCTTTTCAAAAGATAGAGTTTCTGAAATGGATTTAATGTTATTTTCCAGAGTGGATGCAAGAATTTCTTTCCCTTCTTCCTCAAGGAACTGGCTGGCAGGTCTTTCAGATTCTCCTTTTGTTTGTAAGCAAATATATGGTGGGAAATGAAATGTTTCTATTAAACCCTTTACAAGTTCCATTTCTCATATATGTTATAGTGAAGTTGGACTTCCTGTCCTCAGAGCAGGAGCTTGCATCTTAGAACTGGAAGACGTGGACAAATGCCTAAGTACATTCAGTAAATGTAAATAGTAAATTCAGTAATTTTGGTGAAAAGCATGTGTCACAGATTCTCTTGTTTAGTAAAGGGATGTATGATTGAATTTAGCTTGGATTTTGAAGGAAACAGGGCTTTGTGAGCTGGTTCTGGTACACACTAATCTGTCAGAAGCATAGACATTTCCCTAAATGAGTTCAGTAGAAGTCTTGTGAGAATTGTTAACTTTGTAGAATACTGACCATGCGATTGCTGCTTTCCATCTCAGGAAAGGATGGGCAGCATCTGTATTGTGTCTATAAAAGTGAGCATATACAGATGTTTGCCAGCTGACCAGTCAGGGGTTATTGAAGAGATCTCAGAGGAGGCCAAGGAAATGCTGAATCTGTAGTGTTGTGAGAAATAAGAAAATTCAAAGCTTGGATAAATGAGACTTGTCTCTGTAGCTTCCAGAATACTTTCCCTGATGATGATGGAGTACTTGTGGATGATATAGGTTTTTGTTTTGTTTTGTTTTGTTTTTTTTTTTTGTGAAGCATGTAGGCCAATATTAAGTTTAAAATTGGTAATATATAGGAAATAAGTTTTGTATTTTATAATCAGATCATTTCAGTAGTTAAAGCAGTTTTTCACTGTACTTTTCACTTACGAAAATGAAGTGACAAATTCAGTTACATGCATGAGGAATTTCTGGGTGTTATTTCTGGTTATGTGGGTAGGGGTTTTTTGTTTAATTTGATACTCAGTATGGAATGAGAGATTTTACTGGGAGTAGAAGTGTAGTATTTGTGGTTCAGCTTAGCTATTAGGATGGCTTTATTTGTTAAAATACAGAGGAGGCAGGCTGTCAGATTACAGAGTTTGTCATTCAGAGCTGTTCATGTCAAGCTTCACTTGGACTGCTCAGCAAAAGGGAAGAGAGAATGTGTGTCATGTTCTCTCCGTAATGCCTACTCACTTGAAACTTTTCTCTAGCATTGCACGAAATGGGCCGCCAGAAAAACAGAGAATATAACCATGGTAGCAGAACGTATCTGTGAAGCTGCAAAAATGCAGCATATTTGCCTTTTTTTTTTTTTTTTTTTGTTCTTCTATCCTCCAAAGTTACATCCTTCACAGTCAAGGATGTCAGTGCTAAAAGCTCAGAGGGAATTTTGGCACACTAGCCCATGTTTCATAAAGACTCAAATCTGATAAATTTTGAGGAGATTGTGAGGTTCTGTGGTTATCAAGGGGATGTAAATTAATCCTCTATGGTATGTTTGCTTAAGTACATCTGTGGGAAGTTGACTTTCGAGGAAATTGGGCTTTGCAACTTATATCACACATGTTAGGTAAAAAGGCAGATGTTAGAGGAAGCCATTTGACCAAAAGGTAAAGGACACAATGATACCAATTCATTGTAAATTTTCCTAAATTTCAGTGGCATAGACAGGAGAATTTCAAGTCTGTTCTTTCACTGAGAAATGCCGTACCTTGATTTGAGCACTGAGTTTCCATGTTCTTTTGGTCAAAGTTTTAAAATACAAAAGAGATCGATTTCTTATGGAACAAATTTATTGTGTTTTTGAGTTTTTAACTCATTCCACTTGATGTTCTCAAAAAAAAAAAAAAAAAAAAAGGAGGGGTTGAGGTGGGGGAAGGGGAGAAACTAGGAGTCAATACTAAGACCTTACACAACCCAGCTTTTCTTTCTTTATAGCAAGAGCCTGAGACTCTCCCATCTAGAAAAGGCTGACGTTTCTTCTGTTAACAGTCTCAGGAAGTGAGAGTTCCAAGTCTCATCATCCCTAGTTTTTCTTGGAAGTCAGTTGACTATTGCTAGTTTTCACCTTTTTCAAAGGCAGGTTGGAGGTTGCTAGTTGATTGATGTCTATACTTTTAGAGTATCTTTATACAGCCTATCTCAGTTTTCCTTTTCATTCTGTGAAAGAGTAATTAATATGCTATTCATAGTCAAAATCAAACCTGCATCCCTGATGTGAAGGAATACTCTGAGGAAAATAGAGCATGAGGATGACATTTCCCTCATGGGAATATGATGTAATTCTTGCAGATTTAGTTGATGCAGTTTGATACTGCCTCCCACTGTCTGCTCTGCCATCTGTCAGATGTGAGAAGGCAGGACAGCACTTACGTATGCTCCTAAGCCTGCCAGCTAGTAGGTAATGTTACAGCATTATTTTAAACTGTGAATGGAGCTGATAAATGATAAGCAGTCACAATGGCAACAGGGAGGCATGCCTGCATGCTGCTTTTCCCAGAGTCCCACCACAGATGGAGGGAGTGGATTCCTCTGCAAAACAACATATTGAAACAGATCTAGCTTGATCTGTCAGAGCTTCTGGGTCATCTTGAAATGATGGTTAAATAAACTTGGATATTATTTAAAAGCAAAAGAACAATTAAAGAAAACCACCTTATAACACACTGAGAAGGGGATAAAGATGTGCATTTGGCTCCCGTATCATCTGAAAATTTGATAATTAGAGACTGATAGTGTGCTATGAAGAATAGAATTTAAGTGTAATTCTTGGGTAGACTTGTAGTTAGATTGTAAATAAACTCAAACTTGCAGAATTTAGGAACTGCATTAGACACTTGTTGAAAGTATAGGAACAACTCAGCTGATGAAGTAAATTATTTTGCATCCTCAGGACTTTCAGTTCAGTGCAATATCCAGTGGAGCAATCTTTCTTCTCTCTGGTTGTGGAAATACTCTACTGGCATGTTTGCTGAACCAAGTATTAGTGTTCTTGAAAAGGCTGTAAATGTTTCTGCTGTTCTTGATGTTGTAGCCTTTTGCAAATAATTCTTTTCTTGAGAGATCTGTTGTGTCTTCTGTGGTCAAACTTAAGAAATATATTCTCAGATTTCCTGTTAATACTTGCAAAAGGCCTCCTCCAATCTGTTGCAACCATCAGGTATCAGTAATAATATATAAGTAATCTCTTCCAGTATTTATGGTACACACTTAGAATGGAGTGTATGTATGCCTTGTGATGTTCCATGCAGCCAGCTGCAGCTGATCTGGTAAATCGTTTTGTGTATGTCATGGTCCTCCATTCAGCACAGCAAACATTCTCACTGTGAGCAAGCGTCTACCCAAATTTATTTTAGAATATCTTAGTATTTTTACAATGAACAAAATGATTTAATTTGTGCGTTTTAAAGCAGAGCTCTGTGCAGCATTAAAAAGTTTCTGAATGCAGCCTAATACACTCAATCATTATGAAAGGGAAGAATAGTATGCCACTGTTTTTTTATTTTGGCAATCTTGTCATTTCTGCAGTGTATTTAAGCTGCTGAGAATACTGAGGCATCTGTATCAAAGAATCAGCCTGAAGCAGTAGAGGTTGTTTAGGACCATAATTTGAATTGATCTATATATTCAAAAATTAGTTGAGAGTGCTGCTGCTTTGATACCAAATAAGCAAGCAGCAAAACAGAATAAGAAAGACTCTCTTGGATGCACTCACTAACAGACTGCTAAATAGATTGTTTTTCTATTTGCTCATCAGTTTGGTTGTTTCTTACAACATCTGCCCTACCTAATAATCTGGATTATAAGAGGAATTGAGGAATTAGTCTCTTTCAGTACTGACAGCCATAGCTGTCTTTATATTTACAGATGAAGGCTCTTTCTGGTTTTCTTACTGGCATACGCAGAAACCTGTTCCCTCCAACTTGCTCAGTAAGAGTTAGGATCAGTAGCTCCTCAGAAATGTAAGAATAGCCATTGAATCACAAGCTAGTTAGTCCTTTCCTGTCCACAAAGAAACTGGCTGTCATTTTAGGAGAACTGAGAGTATTGCGGACTTGTTAAATCTGTATTAAACCATTGTAACCTAAAGAGAGCCTACAAAGAGGAGGGGAATCAACTCTTTGAAAGGGTTGACAACTGCAGGACAAGGGGAAATGGTTTTAAGTTGAGGGAGGGCAGATTTAGGTTGGATGTCGGGGAAATTCTTTACAGAGAGAGTGGTGAGGTGCTGGAACAGCTGCCCAGAGAGGCTGTGGATGCCCCGTCCATCGCTGGAGGCCTACAAGGCCAGGTTGGATGGGGCCCTGGGCAGCCTGGTCTAGCATATAATGGGGAGGTTGGTGGTCCTGCATGTGGCAGGGGTTGGAGATTCGTGATCCTTGAGGTCCCTTCCAAACCTGGCCATTCTGTGACTCTGTAAGAAAGATCACTCTTGAGAATGTGTGCTAAAAATCACATGAGGCTTTTTTTGCCAACAAATGTGCTTTACTTTCATTTGTGATTGTGTATTTCATATATTAATGTAATTGTGATTATATCTGATTATGTGCATTTTACTACGTAACAAAAAAATTCAACATGCACTCAGTGGTGAGGTAAAGTACCTAGAAGAGGACATCATAAAGAAATACTACCTGTCACAATTTAAATTATTATTGCGAAATTATTAAACTGGAAGTAACTAGATTATTAATGCACAATTGACACAAGCACAGTCAGCACCCACCTTCGCTCTAGAATGTTTCTGACCTTGAGATGTAAGAGGTTCTCTAAAATTTTTTCCCTTCTAAGACTTCTGAGGGTTTTTTCTTTGTACTGGGACTTCAAAATCCTGTTCATTTTTAAGGGTCTTGTGGCCCCTGCTGTGGTTCGTGCATGTGTGCATCTAGGCAAGCACTTGGAGGCACAGAAATGATTTATATGTGTTTGCACACACCTTGAGAGATCCTTCCTTGAGGATGCTGAACTGCATGGTTAGATGGGCATGGCTTAAGAGAAGTGCCTCTAAGAGAGGAAGGTTGGAACTTGGTTTTCAGGTATTTCCACATCCGTATGCCTATGGTGTGAAGTGAAACTGGTAATAATTTACACAACAATATCAAGTAATCTTTGTTTTGTGTCTCTGGCTCTGACTTTTACTTTTGGAGGTTGCAAATTCTTTGCAGGTGTGTATATAAATATTTTATAAATGTTTGCTTGAGTGTTTAAAGTGTGTGCGTGTGTGTGTGTGTGTGTGTGTGAAGAGACAAAATAAGACATCCTGCCAATATGTTTGTACTTTAAAGAGTACCACATGGAAAACTGTACTCCAAGTTTAAAATCTTAAGAATAAATGTACTTCATTTTTCTCTAAATTACTGAGTTATCTAGTTTGCATTTCTCTCCAGATATTAACTAAGTAGGTTGTGCTAAGACTTTTCAGTCAAAATTGTCTTTGGAATCATTCATTTTCTTCAAAGTTCTTAAAGGAATGTGTGATTTCAGTTTGCAGTTAATATGTTTCGAACATTACCACCATCTTCCAATCCAACTGGAGCAGAGTTTGATCCAGAGGAAGATGAACCAACTTTAGAAGCTGCATGGCCTCATCTGCAGGTACCTTATGAAGCACAGGATGTCATCATCTAACAGAATTTTGACATTAAATTCATTCTTATTGATTCAAAATCATACAGGTTCTGTCTGTCTCCCTGGATCAGTTAATCCCTCTATGATGTTAAAATATGTCTTGAATTTACACTGATCTTTTCAGTGAATGTCAGTGTTTTGGAGGCTGAAGGTTTGCTGTTTCTTGTGGTCTGGATGTAACTGCTGTGATGAGCTTCAGTTTGTCACTGGTTTCTTTGACTCAGTTCTGTCTTTGTGAGGTGCTGTGACAAACATAGAACAAGTTTTAAAACACATACTTCTGGGCATGTTGAATATTAGATTATGTCATATGAGGAGAATCTAGCAGTGGAGCTCAGCAGAATTTCAGTGCAATTTAAAGAACATAACTTATACTGAATAAAAACATACTTCATGGAGAGGCCAGAAGCAAAGCTTTCATTGTGTGTTATGTAAATAAACATGTGTTGTACGAATATAAACAGTGCAATTTTGGGCAACTAATTAGTAATTTTGGTAATATGCTGGTCAAAATTCTTTGTTTATAAGACTAATGGTATTTTTTCGTTGGACTCTTTTTCAGCTTGTTTATGAATTTTTCTTAAGGTTTTTAGAATCTCCAGATTTCCAACCTAATATAGCTAAGAAATATATTGATCAGAAGTTTGTATTACAGGTAAGGTAACAATAACTTCTGGCTTCAAGCTCTATATTCACATTGTCTTGCGGAGCATTACATTCAATAAAATATATCTTTTCTTTTCCCTCTTTGCAGCTTTTAGAGCTCTTTGACAGTGAAGATCCCCGTGAAAGAGATTTTCTTAAAACAACTCTTCACAGAATATATGGGAAATTCTTAGGCCTGAGAGCTTACATCCGAAAACAAATTAATAATATATTTTATAGGTATGTCAGTGTCTTTGTCTTATGAGGCATTTGGTCAGATAAACAGCTAAATATGCTTCAAGATACTGTTAGCAGTCTTCAAATCTTAGTAACTTCATATCTAATACTACTACATCTAACAGTATTTGATGCTAACCTGAGAGATTTAAATTAGGGGAGCCTTGCATGCAGCATATATTTGGCAGCCAATATTTGAATTATGTTACTTGGTTGGGTGGTTTGGTATCTTTATCTGAGACCTTTCTCTTGTTGTGTAGTAGTATTCATACTGTAATAGCAGTTGATTTCTTTGTAATGCAGAAGTTGCAACCCTAATGGAGTGACAGAGAATTTGATTGGAGGAGCATATTTACTGGCTCTTCTTTCCTCAGACCTAAGATGTTCTGTTTGGAGTTGGTGGGAACTTTAGTTATTGTAGAATACGCTGTACTTTTTATACCCAGTCACCCAATCAAAAGATCTGACACAAAGAAAATTTAATTTGCAGTCTTTCCAAAGGGGTTTAGAAGTCTGTTTTAATTGCCTGTCATCAGGTGTGAAAGCAAGATTATGGTGCCTTTTTTGATCTTCTAGATTTTGTACACTTCTTTTCTACAAGTCATTACAATACTGTGTATCAGTTTTTACACATTTTCCAATGTTTCCATTTTTTTTCATCACGATTTTCTAATCAAAATGAACTTCTTTAACAAAACAGCAGAAAGCTTCTGCACACTGGCTACTATTTTATGAATGGCACCCAGAAGTACCAGCTGTAGAGTGAGTTTCACTTCTCAATTTGTGGTAGCAAGTGAGCCTTTAGAAGAGATGCAGAGGAGCTACTTTTAAAGCTAGTAAGCCTTCACTCTCCTGCAGACAACAGTTCTTGACTGGCTAGAGCCAGTATCTCCCAGGGAAAAAATACGTGTGTGTCTTTCAAATAAACTGGCAAACTTATTTCTATGTGCATAGGTTGTGTTATTTTTTACAGAAATGCATGGCTTTGTGTAATATCTGAACCAAGCAGTACAACAGTATCACAGCCTATTATAATTTATTTCTCAACTGTATTTTTACTTTCTGCTTCATGTTCTTTACTTTCAGCAGTAGTGGAAGTCTTTACTTCCACTGCTATTCTGGTGGGTGGCTTTTAAAATACTGAGAAACATTCTAGTTGTTATGTTGCATTTGTAATAGTTTCACAATCTCAGTAATAGTTCTCCATAGTTTTTTTTCAATCTGAAATTTATGTGACAGATGCACTGTAGAAGTGACCTTTCTCTACCAAATTTTAGGCTGGAAAGTTTATGGGGAAGAGTGAACAAAATGTCTCACTCATAATTCCTAAGTATTGCAGAAATAAGTAGAAATTTTTTGCTTTCAGAGGTAAACTTTTATGAATATGAGTACCAGGGAGGAAGGTTATTTAAACTTCTGTATTGAATTAGTGCATTGTGCATGACAAATTCTTAAAGAATGTGTAGAATTTTTCAAAATGTTTCCTTTTCATATACTTTTTTCCTCTAAATCTTCCTGCATAATCTTAATAAGATGCAGGAAATATCTGATCTTTATTTGTTCTGTAGTCACTGTCCAGAATTACATAAATTCTGTCCCCATGGTATGTTGATCTTTTTTTCTAAGGTAAAATATGTATATGTACGTATACAAATTAAGTTAGTATGTTCCTGCTTATGTTGGTGTGGTTTTTTTTTTTTTAAGATTTTTGTATCATTGCATTTAATTTTGCTTGAAATTGTTATCCTAAATTATATCAAGTGTATCTTTAAGGAGAAAAGAACAGTCATGTCTAACATTCTGGGTTAAAAGCAACTGTAATATGTTGGTCTATCAGAAGTTTTCAAATAGAAAATAATTTTCTACTAAATGAAATTAATAATACTTTCTAGTAAGTGAAAAAAAATCATTATTTTCAAAGTACCTGAGTTTGTGCATGGAACTTTCTTGACAAATTTATGCTTAAGCAATTGAGAAGACCATAAGAAAGATGATTGCCTGGTAAATTACAGTGTTCTTTCAGAAGAAAATGCACGAAAATGTGATTACTTTTGTTCATTGCTGAGCCTTTTGTGTGTACAGGAGTCTAATACCAAATAGCTTTTTAGCTCCATGAGTAGTAACTGCTCGAACACTTTGTGCTTGCATGGGCTGTAGAAGGTTGAGTCATGCCATTTGATTGTGCCAGATGTTCTGTTCTTTTAATATTTAAAGCGCTGTTTGCTGTGTTTTGCATTATTGAAATGACACAGAGTAGGATTGTTAAAGCTGAAGTGCATGCACTATTGTTAAATGGGAGTGAAAAGAGCAAGCGTGAAGGTTGAAGGCAGCTTAATGTGCTTGTGGAGTGTGCGGATCTTCTGGAGAGCAGGGCCTTCAAGAACACAGTGTGCCATTATGTTTAGAAAAGTTTCCAAGGCTGCTTGACTGTTTTCATTGGCTCCACAAAGTTTGTTTTCTGCTGTGCGATTCAAACCTGAGAGGTCAAGGCTATCTGCAGTGTTAGATGGTCATCTCAGTGGTAGATGTATTTCTCTGTTCAGTAGAAACTGAGTAAAACTTTTCATTTTTATTTTTAGGTTTATTTATGAAACAGAACATCACAATGGCATAGCAGAATTACTGGAAATATTGGGAAGGTAAGTTGTAGGTTTTGTCCAATTAAACTGTCTTGATCTTCATAGGAGACTTTAAATATTCAGCTGGGGATTGCCAGCGGTTGTGAGACAAGATGAAAATAGCTTCCTAGCATGTGGAGAAGCTTAACTTTGAATTTTGTATAAGAGTGCAGAAGCAGAGCAAAAACTTCAACTGCACAGCAGCATTTTTGGGATGTGATAAATTTTTTTATCATTTTAAGTTTCATTTTCTACATTATTATCCTTGTAATAAAGATAAGCTGCAAGGCAGCTGTAATTAAATGTAACTAGTGGTAATTTATTTAAGAATTCCTCTAACTTCACTAAATGTATAGCAAGTAAGCACGGAAAGAATGGGTTATAAATCCTCAGAAATCATCTGTTAATCTCCTTAAAGTGAACTTCAGTGATGTGTCTGACAGCCCTTGAATCTAAGTTGCACAACGTGAAGCTGCTAACTTAGTCAAAACTGGGGTTGTTATCAGTTGACTTCTCATCCTGAGATGCGAGCTCTTTAAAAAATATGTATGTAAATACACCTTAAAAGCGTTATTACTTTTACTTTACACGGTTTTTATATAATAAATTATAAGTTTCATGGCACTTAATTTTAGAATTAGAAGGCTATCTGCAATGTTAGATGGTCGTCTCAGTGGTAGATTGCTGATTTGTCTGTTCTGTTAAGTTGTATTCTTTAAAGAGCTTGATCAAAAACTCTGGTACGTGTTGAATCTATTTTTTTTTCTGCTGCATTGTGTTTTCCAAGAGAAAAAAAAAAAAAAGAAAAAAAGAAAAAAGCTATGAAATCAAGGATTTTCGTATATGCTGTGCAGTAGTGACTATTGGAATATTCTGAATAATTGCTTTTTTTTCTCCCTGACAGCATAATTAATGGATTTGCCTTACCATTAAAAGAAGAGCACAAAATATTCCTATTGAAGGTTTTGTTACCACTGCACAAAGTGAAATCACTCAGTGTTTACCATCCACAGGTAAGATTTGTTTGGTGGTTTTTTTTTTTTTAGATGACAAGAAGTGCAGAGGTCTGCTATGATGACCACCTTCTCTTCTCTCATGTACTCTACCTGACTGAGATGATCTGATCTTTATCTATTTCCCTTACTTCACAAGTAATAATTCTAAATCGTTGGATGACTTGCATTCCCATCAACAAAAGGCGTAGGCATGCCCATCTTTTATGATATGTCCTACTGAATGAAATGAGAAGGCACTTGGAATGGAAATTCTTGTTAGCAATCATCAAAAACAAGAAAGGAAATGGCCTAATCAACTGAACTTCCACGGATGAACAAACATTAGGAAACAACGCCTAGGCTGAACTTCAGACGTACAGCGAGTCTCACATTCAAAATTTCTGCTTCAGTGGGACTGCTGGCACTTAGGGTGAAAAAGATGTAGTAGTTGACTGTCCAGGCACAGATGCAAAGTAATAATTCTCAGAAGTGAAGTTGATAAATAATCTAGTCAGATCTTTGTATCTGCTTGAAACTGGTGCTCATAGTTTTTTTCCTATACAGAAAATCCTAAGTCTCGAAACTGTTCAGTGTATTTCTTTTTACTAACTTTGGTGATGAAGTTGAAAATGTTTTTAAATCAGTGTGGGATGGTGTTAGTAAGTAGAAAATAATTTAGAAAACAGAATTATGACTTCCAATTTTATGTTTGAAAAGAGGAACCGAGTTGAAATATTAACTTTTCAGCCTGTAGAATCCTCTAGGGAGACCTGAAGGGGTGCTGTGGGAAAGAAGAGGACAGACTCTTCAGCAGGATCTGTTGTGATAAGACATGGGGAAGTGGTTTCAAACTGAAGTGGGAGATTGAGACTGGATATAAACCCAGTTTTTTTTTTAATAATAAGGGTAATGAAGCACGGAAATGGGTTGCCCAGAGTTGTGGTGTGTGCCTTCTCCCAGGTGACATTCAGGGTCAGGCTGGATGGGGCTCTTGAGTGCTTGTGTGTGTGTGTGTGTGTGTGTGTGTGTGTGTGTGGTCTGTGTAGAGAGAGAGAGGGCGTTCAGGTCTTGCGAAGTGAGCAGCTTCTAGGCACGGACATTCTCAGTGAAGACACTTCAGATCGTTTGTAGCTATGTCAGCTAGAAATGATTTTTTAGGTTTTCACCTGTAGCCTAGATAGAGCCCACTGAGAAAAACTTTGCTATTCTCCCAGTGGACTTTGTGAAGATAGATGTGCTTCATACATAGTGCTTTCTTCGTATTCATTATTTCCAAGGTATCTACAAGGTTTTTTTCTTCGTAACGAAGAGCTGAAATAAAGCAATAATTTGCAGATCATTTGATCACCAAGAATAGGTGTAAATTCCTTCTTACCATGCAAGAATCTTATTTAGGAAAGATTCTAGCCATTTCCTTATGGGTAAGAGAGGAGAGTTTAACTTCCTTTGTAAAGCAAGTGATACAATTGTGCAGGTTATTCCTTTTCCAGCAGGAGCTAATTCAACCTTTGCAGTGTTGGCTTCTGAGTGGGCATTTGCTTCAATGAAATTATGAGATTTATTTTATTAAAGTGAGCAATTATTTTTGTATAAAGGTGAGATTCTAGGTTGTTTCTTTAATTAAAAATAATAAAGCAAAAACTATGTACAAACAAGCAGAGCATTTGAGCAAAGATGTAATAGATGCGATTGATATTGCACTACTTTGTGGAAGAAGTCTGATTTCACGTTGAATATTTCCTAGAGTATTAATAGTGTAAGTTCTTCCTAATTCTGTAGATTGGATCTTCCTAGAAAGCGAAAGCAGCATGCAAGTATTGTTTCAGGTGATAACTTTATGCAAACCTTCCATAACGTGAGGTAATTGTTACGCTTGTGCATATCCTTGTTAGAGAATAACAGTGGGAAATATCTCCAAATTTAAGTGTTTTTTCTTCCTCATTATTGGTATCTTTGTACACTGGAATCACGCAGATCTCCTAATATATGCTAGAAAAAATCAGGTTGATTAAACTTATATTTTTTTTCTTATTTTCTGATAAAAATGTATCAGTTGTATTTAGTGATCTACTGAGTAATGGGAGAAGAATAAATCATAATGGGGGGAGGAACTTTTGTTCAGCCATTCTTCCTTTTCTGTTCTTTCTTGAGAGATTGTATTGAAAGTTCCTTCATATTATAACTAGGAGAGAAGATGAGAATAGAATTGAGAAATTTGAGAAAAAGGGTTAGAGCATATTTGCTCTTCTGTTGTTTAAATTGTCTTCCAAATCTTTGTAAAATTACAGAAGTACTGTTGTTTTATCTGAATTCAGTAACATTCCCTGGTTAAGCTGCTGATTTCAGTGTGTTCCATTTCACAAGAAGTGTTAACAAAATATTTTCTTTGATTGTAGCTGGCATACTGTGTAGTTCAGTTTTTAGAGAAGGACAGCACGCTTACAGAACCAGTAAGTTTATTTTGCCTTTATTATATATTTTGGGGAGACTGATGTCCTTTTTATCAGTGAACTGTTTAAGGATGCTTAGAGAACAAAGTATTGATAGGTAATTATTTTTATTAGGAAGAATCAGATATATAACCATTTGACATATCAAATGGGTATCTTTCTCTACAATGTTGAAAATGATTTAATAGTTTTCAAGGTATATCTTTTAGGAGCAAAATTGAGTATACTCTGCTTATTTTGTTCTGGTTGACTCTCCATGAAACAGCTGATCCAAAAGCAGTTTAGTCAGATATTTACTTGCCTGAACTGTGCTCTGTTGTGAGGCTGATACTGTGCTGGCACACAGATTTCTGGCACACATAGCTACATACTGATGCAAGACTTTTGAGTCAGATCCTGTTCTCCTTTAGAATCAGATACTAACCTTGGAACATAAACAAAAACAGACTTTTGTCTGGCTGCACATAGCTGCATACCTAGATGAATATTTTTAATTATCTGAAATTGTGTATAGTGTTTTCTATCATTAGTCCAACACATTTAATTGCAAAGTAGTGATCAGTGAATGGGTGCTTCTGCACTGAACCATATCTGAACCCTGCTGTTATATGGGACAAATATTTGAGGGTTTTTTTCTGTTCAACTGTTTTTTCTGTTCATCAGACATGTTAATGAGATGTAATTACTTTGTCATGTACTAACTTACAAAAATTTTGTTCATTTTGCTCCTACAGGTTGTAATGGCACTGCTGAAATACTGGCCAAAGACTCACAGTCCAAAAGAAGTCATGTTTTTAAATGAATTAGAAGAAATTTTAGATGTTATTGAACCATCTGAATTTGTAAAAGTTATGGAGCCTCTTTTCAGACAGCTAGCCAAATGTGTGTCCAGTCCACACTTTCAGGTCTGTCCTTAAAAAATGTGCAATGCAGTGAGGATTTTTACAAAGCGAATTTGCTGTTATTCACCATACTTCTTTTACAGCTTCAGTTGTTACAGAAAGTCTTAACATCTATGGCAAAATTGGGAGATCCAAAAGTTAGCCTTATTGTCTCTTTTCGAGTGTGCAGTACTAGAGTTTATTTTTGATGATCCACTTAAATATTATTCTTAGCAGCTTACAATTGTGGTGTACACAGAAGTTACCTGAAACTTAGCAGTATGTAATGCTTGCATTTCACTTCTTGAAATTGAATTCTACAGATACATTTTCTTGCAGAAGAGCATTTCTTGGGCTGTTTGAATGGTTTGAATCGTGTCCTTGTTAAGGAAAAAGCAGTTTTCCTTTCTCCATCAGTTCCATCAGTAGCTTCTAGTTATGCTACAAAAATCCGAATCTCATTTACAGCTTTTCTTACCTGTTACATGTTTTTGCCAAATATTTGCTTTTTAAAAGATTGTTTGAAGAAGTGTTTCTTTTTTCTGTGTCATCTTAGGTTGCAGAGCGTGCATTATACTACTGGAATAATGAGTATATTATGAGTTTAATTAGTGATAATGCAGCGAAGATTTTACCCATCATGTTTCCATCTCTATACCGGAATTCAAAGACACATTGGAACAAGTAAGAAACATTTGTACAAATAAAATTTTGTGCTTTTTTTTTTTTTTTTTGGTCTAGCTTAGCCTTGAAAATAGCTCAAATCCTGTCTTTGGGAAGTTTTAAATGTGTTGAGGTTTTTATTATATGTCATTGGGGCTGCAGAGTAAAAAGATTACTGTTGTCAAAATGTTGATTTTGAACATTATAAGCAATATAAGCAAAAATTCTAAGCAAGTCTTTTTTCCATTACATAAAAAACAATGTTTTAGTACATGTAATCCATGGCATTTTTATTAATGTGAGGAAAATTTGTTGTTAATCTCTAATCTGGATATTTCTGAAGACTAACTGATTTTTTGATCTCTAACTTCTTTGCTCATTTGCATTTCTTCTGAATTCTAGTGCAGTATGTTTTAGACTGGGTCATTTTATTTCCTTTCCTTCTCTTGTTTTTTCCCCCTTTGTGTTTTGTTTTCTTTCTCCATTGACTGTTTTCACTTTTTCCCCCCACTATAACATAGTACTTGCACATGAAAACAGTCCTGGTCAGCTCCTTTCTGCAGCTGTTCCATTGTAAAGGGCCTCTTTGTTTCTGCTGTGGTGCAACTGCTGGAATGATGAAAGCATCCACAGTCTAGTGCTGGCCATGAACTGAGGTCTGGTTAGCCAAGCACGCATACTGCATCTACCTCTAAACACAGAAAAAGAAAGGAAGATAAAGTGATGTTAGCGGTTGATAATTATCGCTGGATGTAAGCAGTAACAAATAATGTGCTTACAAATGAAATTTTGGTTCAGTGATGCAACTGCATATAGTAAACATGGATTGTTGTCAGTTATTTTTCTGGCTTTCAAGAACATGCATTCGTTTTGATTTGAGCAGAAGTGGTGCTACCCAGTACAGCTGCACTCCCACTTGCAACTCACTTGTGTTACAAAGTAATCACTTAACCGATTGCTTGCTGTGTGGTTTTGATGATCAGCAGATTATGCACCAGAATTTGTAAAATACTCTGTAAAAATAAGTGCTTCATAAGGCAGATATTTGTCATTGTTGTTTTCCACATCACTTTTCTAATGCTTTTCCAAAGAGTCCTGGCATAACTGTGTTGAACTAAGTGCTGTTGCTGTGTGGCAGTTGCCAAAATGAATAATGTCTTCTCTGGGCTCCTTATAATCACTCTGTCAGTTGCCAGTAAGTTACTTATTTCAAAAACTGTAACGCTATCTTGCATTTTCTTTAACAACTGAGCTTGATTAAGGTCAGACAGTCATTTCAAACCCAGTCCTCTTGGTATACACAGTATTAAAAAATGAAGTTCATGAAAAATATACGTGACAAGTAGTACTATAGAGTAAGTGAAATGGTAACTTTAGTACTTGCGTTGGCCCTTTGGAGGGTAAACTGAAACTTCCGCTAACTAGTGTTGTTTCCATTTGTTCTGAAATGATGTGATTTTCCAGTTATGTAGGCTATTGGCTTCTGTTCACCAGAAAAAATAGATTTCAAAGTTTAAAGTACTCTGAGTTTCAACCAGAAGTTTTACTTATAGGACAATACATGGCTTGATATACAATGCTCTGAAACTCTTCATGGAGATGAACCAAAAACTGTTCGATGACTGCACACAGCAATTTAAAGCAGAAAAACTGAAGTAAGTTTTCATGTCAGTGTCTGTCTGTTCTTGAATAATTTGTTCAGAGTGCTTTCGCTCTGAAAAACTATGTCTCTACTGGGAAGTTGTACCCACTTGATTACAGTACAACAGTCTCAAAATTTGCTTGGTAAAAGTTCTCATTACACGTGAACTGTAGAATCTTCAGAATGGGGTACTTCCTGTAGTCTTTGGCCCAATGCTGCTGCATATCACCTTTCTTAAAACTAGTTTTTGGAAAAGGATACTGCTTATCATGGAGGCCCACTGTTAATGATCTGCTGAAGAGCTTGGTTGACATCCTCTGTTTATTTTTTGCATGCTGTATTTACCCAGTGTTATTTTCTCATGTTATCACTCAGTCCTTCCCAAAACACTTTTCCAGTATTTTTGACATTGCATTGTATGCGCATGTGTGCCTGTTGTTCTGGAAATAATCCAAGATAAAGTTGTCACTCTGTTATAATGCACTGTTTGCCAGAAGAATCCTGATGACTTACTGTAGTCCTGCACAGGCCACTGAAAGAGAGCAGGAAACTAGAAGCTAGAATTTTTTCTGCTAAATGCCCAAAAATGAAGCTAAATTTTGTGCTCATGAATTTACTTTTCATAAACCTGCTATTCCTCTGGACCTCAAAATTATTTAATAGATTGGAAATAGAAGTCAAATGTGTGAATCATTCGGTGCTTACCTTAGAAACTGGGAGCATGATTAAAAAGCAGATATTAAAAATATCTGGATTTCAATTTGATTTTTACTTTCTAAGTGACCAAGAATTCCCTCAGACAATGTTTCAAATTCTGAACCTGAATTAAAACAATATTTTGGAAGTAATGTAAATTTCTAATGTAGATAATCTTACTTAAATTTTGAAGCTGCTTGTTATAATTCAAGTAGAAATTAACTTGTAGTATTGCATATATTTTCTTATGTGGACAAAAAGTGAATATTTATTTTTTTGAAAGAACAGACTGTGTGAATCTCTTATATCAAATGAGTAGAAGTCCTTTTATTAAATCTGAAATCAATCGTTCCTCCTTTTTCCTGTTTGTTTAGTTGGTTGGTTTTGGTTGTGGCTGTTTCGTGACATTTTATTTGAATGTGAACTGAGGCAGACGGTGCTAAGGGTGACATCAGAGCAAAACGAAATTCTTTACCACAATAGAGCTTAGATGGAGAGGGAATTCTACCCCACTCTAAGCTTAACTTAATGAAGTGCTGCAGGCAAGTTGTGTGTAGGCTTGAATTATAATTGCTGAGATTTAAGCCAGGATCAGCTACTCCATGTGTTGAAGCCTGAAAGTTTTTTTGTTTTTGTTTTTTTTTTTAAGCACTGTTGATCTAAAAACCCTTTCACAACTCTACCACCTTTCAAACAGTTTGTTCAGGCCTGTACATGAGGCAGTTTATTAGGGTAGGAAAAACCAATAACTTAAATTTGAAAAAAATCAGGTATACAGAAAGAAACCTTACTTCTGAAGTATCATTTCTTGTGACTCCATTGAATGATTTATTGTGTTTTTTTGATTGTTATGTTTTGTTTTGTTTCATGTCTCTATTTGTGTACAATTCAAAATATCTCTGGGTTTTTTCTCTTGTTTAAACTGTCACCCAAGCCACTGAGATGACAGTAAGAATCCATGTAACAGTTCAATTTTTTTTTCCCTTTGAGTTACAATAATTTTTAAGTGTACAATTAGCAAAGATTAGCTCGTTAGCTGGTTGCTTCATGAGAGGATTGGGTTTGTTTTTTTTCTTTTTAATGCTGCTTTGGGATCATGAAATTGATACAAATTGTAATGCCAACATGAAATGGGTTTTTTGGACGCTAAACTGAAATGGGCGTTGCCAAACAATTTATTCTTCTAGTGATGTTTCTTTTAATGTTAAAGAAAATACACAAGTTGTGATACAGGATTCACCAAGCTTCTTTTGCCATTTTTGCTTTGAAATTTTTTTCAGAGAGAAGCTAAAATTGAAGGAACGGGAAGAAGCATGGGTTAAAATAGAAAATCTAGCCAAATCAAATCCCCAGGTATTTAGAAAAGATTAACATAAGATGTTCATGTTTTAATACTTTAGCTTTGTTAAATATCAGTGGGGGAAACAGGTCTGACTGGTCATGGAAATAAAACAATTTCATTAATTGTATTATGAAAGATATACAATAAAAGTACTTTAAAATTTGTAACCTTTCTCTTGTGCAAGTAGTTCTTTAATAAGAAAAAAGGTTTCTGAAAAATATGATGTGAAGTACTTTTTCCTTTTCTTATAATAGGAGATTTACTGTATTGCGGTTTGAAAAGTTATTGTGCAAAATTATGGAAACAGAGAGATGCCATAATTGGTTTCTCTTTGAAAGCTGTTTTGCACACAGTATATTACAAAAGAGATCTTTCTGCAAACTGTGAGTTATGACTGCTCAGTTTTCCTCTGTGTCAAATGAATTAAACTAAAATTGTACGTTCTTGTCTACTGCATTTGTTCTCATATTTGCTATGGGTTAGTCACTTGGTGAATGTGCACATCAGATTCTTACTGAAAAGGAATTGTCCTGTCAAGTATCTGTGAGCTGACATGATTAAAATATTGATAAAGAAAATTTCCTTTAGAGTGCTTATCTTGACATCATGGGAGAAGGTGATGATTCAGCCTGAATTCCCCTCACCCACTCTCATTTCTTGGAGAATGCCGCTTCTCTTTTTATTTATTCATTCATTTTCTGAAAGTCTTTTTCCTTATCGCAGTCACTGATTTGCTGTTGTAGGCAAAAAAACAAAAACCCATTTGTATTACTTCTCAGCAAGTAGATTATTGCAGCAAGCAACTTACTGTGCTGTGTCTTTGCAGCAGCTTAGCTTGAGTGGTAGAAGAGTGAACAATGATAAAAGGAAGCAGGACACTTTATGATCTCATTGGTGTTCTAAAACCAAGTATGGGGTCATATTTTTCCTAAGGAGAAGGAATTTCATAAATGTTTTTTCCCCTTAGAGCATTTCTACCAGGGAGCAGTTACTAAACTGCTCAAATAAAAAATGTTAAAAATCAGAGTATGCCTAACAATAGAAGAGTCAAACGAGTTTTAGAAAAGCCTTGTGCTTGAAAGTAGTGGTTGTCTGTCACTGACACAACGTTCTCTAATGTCATACAAAAGACTTGGTTCAAGAGTGCTTGCTAGAGATGGTCATTTGCTGTCACAAATGGTGAACTGCGCCTGTCTAAATAAATGAATAGACTCGTGGTAGTAAAATCTACAGTTCTGAAGTATAAGATTGCTAGTTTTTGCAATTCTTGTCATTCAGTGTGCTTTCTGAAGCTGGGTAGCACAGCCTGTATACCATATATTCTGCATAGCCTGCTTGAAGAGAGGTGATAATGACAAGTGATTTAAAATGATTAATTTGAACACTGCAGTCTATATAATGGATTTTAGCAATTCCCCCTTCCACCCTGAATTTATTAACACTCCCTTAATTTTTAGTTACTAACAGTTCTTGTTGTTCAGAGCTATTCCTGACTTTGCATAACAGAATACACTTTAAAATTTTAGATCTTGATATTACAACCCCTGCTGATTAGATTTCTTTATTATCTTATATATATGATGTTACTGGCACAGATACTAAAATATCTATGAAGACAAATAGATGAGAAAGTGTGCTTATAAATGAGTTTTTATTTAAAGACCACTTAAGCCTCACTGGAGTTAAATGAAACTTAACCTATTGATAAACTATTGAGATTATTGAACAGCAAGTTTCAGATACTATGAGTGTTTTCACATAATCTTTTTAATTCCCAAAGCACTTGTATGGCTGCTTTATTAAAATTTTCTGTCCTATGTAAGTACTTAACTTTAAAGGTTTTTGTCTTTAGTAACTTAATCTTTTAAACTGTGTATTTTCTTTTATAAATGCAAAATTGCACCAGCAATAAAAATCATTGTGCTGTCACACTGTTCTTAAATCACTAGACAGAAATCACTAGACAGTGTATTAGGGAGTCTTCAGCTGCCAAAAATTGGCAAAATATGAATATGCTTTAAAATTAAGTCTCAGATAAAGTGTAATTGTTCAATGGGACATGTATGCCAGAATGGAAACACTGGAGTTCCATTTTTCTCCATCTTTTACGTGCACTTAGGAAAAAAATTATTCCTTGGTACCTGGAAGCATAAGATGTTGAAGCTAATCTCCAATAATTGCAGCATTAAGGTGCTCTAAATCACTCTTAGTATTTAGTTACTGCTATTCAGAATGATTATTTTAACCCTTTGCATTTTATTAGTACCCAACGTATAGTGACACGAGCTTGCTGAACAGTCCAGTTGCAATGGAAACAGATGGGCCTTTAATTGAAGATTTGCAGATGCTGAAAAAGACAGTGAAAGAAGAGGCTTGTCAGGTAAGGTTATGTGAAGATAATAAAGTACCCTTTACAAATTGTATTAACAAATGATAAATCTGGCAGTTGCTCTTAATTCTGGATTTTTTTGGTTAATTCCAGAGATAAACTAGCTATGTTTTCATCTCTTTAACTTTTGTGTCTTGCAATAAGAAACTTCATTAGAGCTGCTACTTTAAAGTGATAATAGAGCAGCAAGGAATATGGTGTTACATTTCTCATGTCTAGGGATCTGATGAAAACCTCTTGAGATATTCTACAAAAGATTTCATTTCCTTTCAACTTAGAAATTAGCTGAGTCATAGCAGAAGCAACGCTTTTCCCCTAAGCAGAATTAAAAATGTATAAATCTCTTAACTACGCAACAGTTTTGTCTTTAATAAGGAGAACTTATAAAATAGTGAGATACTAGGGATTACATTTCTTTTATCTGTTATTCACAATTTTGGCTAAAGCCTACAGTGTTTTGACAAAACTTGTGAGGTGTCCACCGTGTAAATTTCCTTGCCTACACACATAGGCTGTCTTTCCCAATTCACGGTCTGGTAACCTTCCATTACCTACAAAAAGACAAGGAGACTCAAGGCCATTCTAGTTAGTTAAAGACAGAAGACTATTAGTGATCTCCAGGTGTTTTTTTAATTAACTTAAGTGGAAGCAGAGTCCCAACATTAGAACTAGAGCTTTGGAGAACTATTTGAACTGGGAACTAATGGAAAGTGATGGGGAGACAGGGAGCAAGCACTACAGTATTACTCAGATATCTGGTAAAATATCAATAGTCTGAGTACCTCTATATACAGCAAAGTTTAAGATCAGAGCAGTGATGTCAAGGTGAGGGATTGAGATCAGAGATAAAGTCTGTTAATTTGAATGAAAATATCAAACAAGAAACTTAATTACAATAAACATAATGTGGACTTTACCTCTTTCATTACTTAAAATTCCATTAATTAAACAACTAAAATTATTCTGCAATACTGTATTTCATCTATTCTAAGAAATATGTGATTTTGAATTCAGTAGGTTGAAGTTAATAATAATAAACCTCTAAGTTATACTCTGTGATGGCTACCTTTTAAACATTCGTTTCTGAAGCAGTTTGCAGTAAAAGCTAATGGAAAAGAAAAAAGTGGTAAAATTAAGTTTTGGAGTTGTTGAGAACTGTTTAAGTGTTCTTTAACCATCTCCCCAGGTGCATGCTTTCCTGCATTTCTCCATTAGAAGAGGGTACAAGAAGTAAATGAAATGATTAAGAGCTCTAAACCCATTTCTCAAAGATAAAGATTCTGTCTTAAATGGGTGAATAGGACAGTTTGAAACTGGAGTTGGAAAAACAACAAAAAACCACAAACCCATAAACTTACAGAAATCTCTAAATATGAAGCCTGCAAGGAGATTGATCATTGGCTCATGGGATAAGAAAAGGACTGAGGGGCTGTGGGGTACTGTGGACAGCAGGCTAGGTATGCAGTGGCATTTGTGATTGCAGACTGGAGAGAGACTTACTTATCCCTTGCTCAAGTACCAAAGGAAACTGATGCTAAAACAAGCTAAACTGGCTTGCCAGGAAAAAAAAAGTCAGCATGAAGGGTTTGTGTGGGTTTTTTTTTTTTTTGTTTGTTTGTTTGTTTGTTTGTTTAAGTCAAAAATAAAAGATCAGAAGTGAGGAACAGTGTAAAGACGGGTCGGCTGAGGAAGGTCTACCAGCAGCTGTTTTTCTTGCCCAGATTGCGAGCGTAGTGAATAGTCTGGTATGATACAACTTGATCAGTGCTTTAATAACTTACTGAAGATGCTTGTGAAAAAACAAAAGGCAAAGTAAAAGCTGCTTGGTTTTTATAAGGGCCATAAATTATTTTTAAGGGTAGAATTCCTTTTATAAGGCTGTTTAGGGAACAAAGGTGGAGGAAAAATAAAAATTATTTTTCCCAATGAGAAGAATGAAAGAGCAGCATGTCAGATTTATCAGGAAAGAATTATAGCATTCACTACAGGGGAGGAACGTGAATCTGAAATGACGCCATTTGCAGATTACAACTGTGTGGCTTAACAGAAATTGTATGGAGTGAAAAATTTCAGTGCAGATCTAATGAGCTCAAATGTATGTGAAGTGTAACAGCTTGGGAAGAGGAGCTGGGGGCAGGGGGGTGAAAAGAATATTTGCAGAAAGGAATTACTGACCTTGTGTTCCTTCATAGACTGAGTATAATTTAAAGAAAAAGAATAAATATTGATTAACAACCAAATTGGGGTAGATTAGAAGGACGTAGAGACTGCAAGAAAATGCCCCTATGTAGTTGAAAAATATACTGTCAATACTATCTGGTTTTGATACAGCATTAGTAAAGTAATATGGGAGAATCCTATGAATTCAGGTGTGTGAATGGTGCAAGTAAACAAGCATGGGAAAAGTTAGGATTGTTTGTCTTGGATGTAAAGATACACAAAATGAAAAATGGTAAGAGAAGAGAGGTCAGAGTTTTACTTTAAGAGCAGTTATAATCAAGTGACTGTCACAGTAGTAATGCTGTGATTGCTGGTAGCTCTAGTTTGTTAGGGTTGCTCAGTTTTTTGGGTTTTTTGTGGAGGAAAAAAACTTAAAACTAGACAGGTGATGGCATAAAAAGGTGATGGTAAGAATTTCATTCCAGAAAGTAAAGATGGATGTGCAAGGGAATATTTTAATGTTCAGGAAGTAACATTTTTTGTCAAGTTTGTTCTACTTTGGTTTCAGGCACAGAAAGATCAGAAAAAAGATCGTCCTCTCGTGCGACGCAAGTCAGAACTGCCTCAGGATATCTATACCATGAAAGCCTTGGAATCACATTGCAGAGCTGATGAATTAATATCACATGATGGGCATTAAGCTATTACAGTGAAATATTATTTTGGAGGAACAGTTTTTTTTTTCTGGACTCAGTTCTACAGTAGAACTTAATTTTTTGTGCCATACCTATTGGTTACACACAAAGTCAAAGTTTTCTTCAACCCAGTTCTGTAGGCAATAACTTAAGAGTATGCAGCTCAAGATTAGTAGTTCAAACAATGGTAAACGACCCAGTTCCGTATGCAGAATATTGGGTTGACAGTAATCAAGTGGACACAATTTCCTGGAGGTGTTATCGTAGTACCAGCTGGCTGATAACATGCAGTTTTTATAATCACGTTTGAGAAGAGCATTCTGTAAACTAATTCCATCTAAATAAATGAATGACCAATAGTTGGTACTAATGATAAATGTGCATTTTCAAAAGTAAAATAATATCAAATTTGAGTATTAAACCTTTTGTAGGATTTGTCAACTTTATAGTTGTTTCCACATTGCTATCTTGTAATATACCAGCAGATTTGAAAGTACGTGATTATTCTTTCGTACTATAAAACATGGCTTACAAACTGGTACCTGTCATGACAATCCTTGATCATGATTCCTTTTAAGGGTTCTGTAAATTCATTTCTCCTTTACTTAGGATAAAGATATATATATAAGTATATATATATTCCATGTCCTAATACTTTATGTATATTTAAAGCCATATTTTCCAGTCTTCAGTATATTATATGGCACCAGTATTCCAGAAGTGAACTGGTAGAATAATTTTTCCTAAAAAAAAAAAAAAAAAACAAACAAGTGTTTACTATGACTGGGAACAGATTGAATATAAAATTTCATTTTGTTTTTTTTTTTTCCAAGTCAATAAAATACTCTTTCACTGTTTTCTCCCTTATCTGAGCTTTTAATACTCAGCATTTTTCTTGGGCTCTAAGAGTTCAGTATTCCATGGCAGATATTTTGTGTCATTTCAGCTGCATCAGTTTTTATCTGAAAGATGAGCATAGCCTTTCAGGAAACAAAACTTCACAAGCTTAGGACAAAGTAAAAGGAGAAAAAGAACAGACAGTTGAATTCCATTTTGCTTCTTTTTTTGCGTCTAAGAGCTGGGGAGATCGTGACCATAACTTTATTGTGAAAATATTTTTGTTGTTGTAAAGAGCACATGTGCTGCAAATACACCTCACAAGTGAACTGAAAACGCATCTGAATTGCTGATGATCTTCAAATGCTGCTATATATTCCACAAGATTACTTGCATGTATTGAGCTTTCTGTTGTAGATGGAAAAGCACGGGAGGAAAATCTTTTTTAAAATATAGTTCTTTGTCTTCAATATTTGATTTCTCTCAGGGTGGCCAGTATTTTGACTTACTTATCCTGCTTACAAGCTGTTTGAAATGTGTTCTGCTATTCTAAATGGGTGATTAGTTTCCTTTGTCTCTGGCAGTAACATGATATAACTTAATGTTTAATGTCTTGATGCATAAAGAGATAAAAATGTGGCTTCTTTAAAAATAGTTTTGTTTCATTTTTTAAGGAAGTATAATGTCTCCTGCATCCATAAAGATATTGCACAAAGCAGACATTCGTAGTAACCTTGTGCAGATGCTGTGCCTGCTGTTTGTTGGTTGCATTTAACATACAATTTCCAATATTTGTGGTCTATTGGAAGAAAATTGTCAGCAGTAGATATTGGCTTACAAGAACTAAATTTAAAGACCAACCCAACCTATAAGCGGAATGTCCACTGCGTCTGAAACATTTCCTGTAAAACTTGAAAAAGATTATGCTTTACCGTAAGGATAAACTCTATTAGAACAGTTTAAAGATGCCTTCTCCTTTTGAGGGAAAAAGGGTGCTTTTTTAATTGTGTAAAGCAGTGTCTATGTATTTTGATATACCATTGTTTGAACTTCCATCTTTAGCTGGTAGATTATCAGTTACCTTTGATTTTGGGTGTTCAGTATGTTTGTGCAAGAGGTTGCTGAAAGGAATTATGTTACCCGAGGAGGGGAAGGAAAAAAAAATGTATATCAATGTTTGATCGACTGTGTGATGCTCAACGTATAAGAACATTTTTCACTGTCTAAACTTATTTTCTGTTCTTTATTGAAGATAAACATTCACCAAAAAGAAATAGAAATATGCTATTTCTAGACACTTAAATTTCATATAGATTCATATTTTAAGTTTGGGGCCACTTGTCATTTTATTAGGCAGTATTCCAAAATCTGTCACCACTAATTGTTTAGCATGTTTATTATCAATAATTACATATTTATAATCCTTTACGGAACCATTCTTAAAAAAAAAAAAAAAAGAACAACAAAAAAACAAAGCCAACAACAACAAAAAGGAAGAAAAATTAAAGTAAAATTTTGGTGACTGTGGTTCTTCATAAAGTTCTGTGTTTGACACCTTTCCCTGTTCTCCAAAATTACACCTGTACATCAGGAATGTCAAAAGTAATATTACAAGTGTCTTTTTAGTGTGGCTTCAGTATGGCTTCATTTTAATATTGTACATACATTGTACTTTGTTTTATGGTAATAAGTAATAAAAATGTAGACTTCATATTTTGTACAGAATCGTCCTATGTACAGAATAAAAACTTCCTAGAAACAGCAAAAATAGGTAAGTGGCACAATTATTTTTCATTAGACAATATCTGTAACATTATGCAGTAGTGGAATGTTAAGTTCAAATGTACCAACATATTTTTTAACATTTTGTAATTCAGTTTTTTTGTTCTGGCATTGTTTCAGAAGGACTTCATACACCTGCCATTTAATTTTGCTTTTATCTAATTTAAAAAGAAAAAAAAAAATTAATGGTGTGTTATATGGACAAATAAAGAACATGTGAATTTTACTTTGCTCATCATGAAAATATATCCAGCACAGGGCCTTTGGGGGGAGGGGGGGGATGTTCAGATTATCATAATTTGAAGAATGGCCTGTGGGAATTAAAGAATTGTGTAAGTTTCACAAAAAAGTGGGAGTGCTACTAATGTTGGTAGTATTAACAAAATAACAGGGAGTAATGGTTATTCTGTAGAAAAAAGCAGGCAACTTTAAGAACAGTTATCAGTACTGAAAAGAACTCGATAAATCTCCGGACTACAGATACAGAAGATCCTCTGTTCTGTATTTTCCCTTGTAACATTTATGTTGACAGGCTTCGAATGAAGTAGCCAAAAAATTAAGGAGATTATCATGTGGTAGGTAAGTGGCCAGGTGGCAGGAATATCAGAAAAGTTCTGACTTTGAAACAAATAGATGGTTATTGGTTTATGTATTACATTTTATCCCCAAACAGAAGGCCATAACAAAGTATATGTATATCAGTTTGGTTGATTGGTTTGGGATCTCCCTGGATTTGGACTTCTTTGAAAAGATGAGACTTGGCTTATGCTGTCTTTACCTTACGAGGTAAAACTTTGATCCAGTTAAATACTATGTATGAAAAAAATTCCCAAGGGGGAATTTACTGTACAGCTATGGAAGTTAATAATACATCATTCCTTTCTCACATTATTGAAGAGCAGCATGATTGAAGCTTCCTTTCTCTGAACCCCTTCATCCTGGGACTGCATTCACTCCTGCATGAGTGGAGGGCTGCACAAAGTGTGAAGCTACGTAAGCATCCAGCCTAAGGGTTTCAAGGGGAGAGCTTCCAAAGTTTTGATACAAGGGAGGAGGGAGCATTCACATGTTTTGCTTCAAGCTATATTAGGCATTCTTGTGGTCCAGAAGACCACACTAAGAGGAGTCACCCTGGTGTGAAGGTCTTGCTGTACTAATGAGTATGCTTTTATGGAGTACGCTGGCTCCATAAGAGCCAGAGATGGGGGAAACAAGTGCTTGTTTTTTGTTTTTTGTGGGTTTTTTGGTGGATTATTTTTGTTGTTTTTGCTTTATTTTGGTCTCAAATACTGCCCAATTACTACCAAATGCAGGGAAATGAACAACTTTTATCGTTTGCTGAAATTGGTCTCCATGATGATGAAGTTGCAGAAGAGAAATGGGCTGGTTTGGCACGGCTCCACTCAGAAATTGAAATGAATTGGCAGATGTCAGCGAGTTGGGATACAGGCAAACTGCACCTAGGTGGGAAGAGTTGAGAGTAGGAAGAAATGCAAATATGAAGCAGAAAGGTTGGCTGGTTGTTTCCCATTCGTTTAAACTTACAAGATAAGCATGGCGCATTTCACTTGAACGTGTAATACGAGTTGATGAATAACTTCTACCTGTGGTGACAAGCTCCTTTTTTCTCCTTTTCAATCCCCACTTCACTTGTTTTGTCCATCAGATCTTAGTTCAGTACCCTGTCTCCCTATTTCAGACATTGCTTAATTGAGACGTTATATTTCAACTAATCCCCAGCAATTATTGCGCAGTGATTTACAGTGCTCCAAACGCTGCTTATCACTTGCCATTTAATATGAAAGTAGGGATTTGGCTTAAATTTACTGAATACTATTATTCTCCTCTTATAAAATCTGTGAATTATTTTCCACTGTTCACTCAATGGCGTAAAGGTGAGTGAGAGTATTACAGTATTGAATTTTAAAAAATCTCAAAAGTACGTCGCAAATATGAGAAGATACAGAGTTGAAAGATTGGTGAAATCACTGAAGGAAAATGTTAGCATCAGGACGGAGGGGGGTGGAACATCTGATTTTCTGTAACTCAGGCAACTGGCCTTCAAAAATGTACCAAATCATGACAAATAAAATCTCCTAATTTTTTTTTCTTTTGTGCCTGTGGGAAGCTTCTGTAGACCTTTGGAATTCTGAGGCTTTCTTTGTGTTCCGTTACTAAAATGACTGGTATCTACTGGAGGTAGATCGAGGCAAACTGTTGCTCACCTTGATTGAGCAAACTAAAGCCTGTTCTTTGCATGCTTTAATGCTGCCTGATAACTTGTGCAGGGGAAAAAAAAGAAACAACCAAAAAAACTAGTTTATCTTGTCTTTTATTTTGGATTCCTTTAACTCAAAGCACTTCTCAGCCCCTTTAACCTCCCTTCACACAGTAGATGAAGGTGAGGTGATTAAAGAAATAGAACGCATCTAATCTAAACTGCTTTTTAGTTGGAAGTAGTCTGGCACTTAACATAGCAGAATCCTAGTCTTGTTCTTTACTATATGGCCTTGTGAAGTATTTAATTTGTCCTTAAATGTAAGACTTGCTGGTTTTTAGGCTTTTTCTTAATACTGCTTTTTTTTGGGGGGGGGGAGGGGGGGGCGCATTTTGGCAGTAATTGATATAAATAATTACTGCAATTCTTATTTCCTGTCTCTGTCCTGCTTTCTCCTCCATACTTCCTTACTTCACTTTCCTTATTTCTTCCCAGCAGCAATTCTAGATTAATGATATTGTATCTTCCTTTGTAAGCCTCAAAGGTGGTGACATTTTGGTGCAGCAGATGACAGCCGTTTTGAAGAGTGAGCATGCTGCCTAGCTTCAGCTACCTTCTTTGAGATTCCAGGTTATGCTTGAGCCAAGGTGTTCATTTAACTTGTGTTTTTTTGGATCCTTGCCTGATCTGATGTTTACTGTGTGGATATGATAGGTGGCTATTTCCCCTGGTGGGAAGCAGCAAGGCAGGGCCTAGCTATGGATCTTCAGTAGAATTCAGCCTTGACACAGCTTTTTTTTTTTTTTCTTTATTTAGTCTAATCCTAAAAGCATAACTTATTCATAGAAGAAAGTGTGTGTGAACAGGCTGGCCTTCAGATGGAAAACGGGAGTGTTGTACCAAACACTTGAAGAACACGGTTAATGGCACGTTAAATAGAACACTCAGATGACTTGGCTACCTACTGCTCAGGGGAGAAGGCTCTGAGGCTCCAGGGAGCCTAAGTAAAAGGGGCTTAAGAAGGGGGGTTCGCTGAGGGCTGAGGCCCTGGCCTGTCTGCCCAAGAGCTGTGGCTGTTCCATCCCTGGACGTGTTCCAAGGCCTGCAGCAAGGGGTGGAACTGCACGATGCGTAAGGTCCCTTCCCCCAGAAGCCGTTCGGTGATTTATTTAGGCTGCAAATAAGCTGACGCACGAGCTGGATCCATAAAGCGACCAAGGTGAAAAGCCGCAGCCAAGCGTCATCTACGATAGTGCCTGGCCCCAGCGCCTGCGAACGAGGGCTTTCCGCCTTCGCTCTTCCAGAAGGAAGCAGTCAAATAAAACAATACTGCTTCTTGTTTAAGAAACGAAGAAAGTGCGCGGCCCCGGGCGCAGCGCTCCCTGCCGCAACGCCTCACGCGGGCCCGGCGCCAAGCGATGCGGTCCGGCCCCGGGGCGGAGCGCCCTGCCCCTCCCAGGCTCCCCCGCGCTGCTGGGCGTCGCTTATAAGGCGGCGGGCGGTGCCGGAGCGGGCGGTGCCTCCTGCCTCGGCATGTCTGACTCCGGCAGCGGCGCGGGCGGCGGCCCCGGCGGCGGCGGCGGCGAGGAGGGCGGCATGGAGGTGTCGGGCTCGGCCGTGCAGAACGTGGCCGACGTGTCGGTGCTGCAGAAGCACCTGCGCAAGCTGGTGCCGCTGCTGCTGGAGGATGGCGGCGAAGCCACCGCGGTGCTGGAGGCGGCCCTGGAGGAGAAGGGTGCCGTGGAACATATGCGCAAGTTCCTCTCCGACCCGCAGGTGCACACGGTGCTGGTGGAGCGCTCCACCCTTAAAGGTGAGGCGAGGGCCCGCTCCCGCCGCCATCACAGCGTCACAAAATGGCGGCTCTGGGAGAGAGCGAGGGATGGAGGGTGGGTGCGGCGCTTGCGGGGCTCCGCCGCCGTTCTGCTCGGGGCCGAAGGGCCGGGCGGTGGCTGCTTCCGCCGCGGCCGGAGTCCGTTGCGCTTTGTTTGCTACGGCGGGCGCCGGAGAGGCGCTGGCGGCGCTGCAGGTGGTGCCCGCCTGCCTGCCGCCTGCCCGCCCGGAACGGCGGGACGAGAAGGGCCGGAGCTGGAGCTGCCCAAGCGGGGCTGCGCCGTGCTGAGTCGGAGCGCCCCGGGTTCCTCAGTCCGGGCGCAGTGTCTTTGTTTAAGAAACGCCGCCGGGTGCTGCGCTGCGTACCGCAGCCAGGCTGGCTGACAGAGGGGCGTTCCTGCGGTTTATGTGCTCCATTCGTTTGAGAAGTGGCTTTTTATTAAGGCAGCAGCCGTTGACCGTCAGCAGTCCCTAAATAGGCCCTTCTGGTCACAGGATCTAGCGTGACGGATGCTAAAAAATACGAGTAAGGCCCCTTTCTAACACGGAAGTTTGCCATTAAACAATGCCTGCTGTCTGCGGCTGTGTGAACGCCCTGCGCTGAGCGGCGTCGCGTCCCGCATCCGGGCTTTGCTGGGGCCGTTCCCCCCCAAGATCCTCCTCCTCCTTCCCGGCTCAGCAGGGATGACGGCAGAATTTTCTAGACGAAAGACCAACCTGTATGCCGTTAAGGAGGTTCACAGGAGTCTGCACGGCGTTAGCAGGCGGCGCGGGTGATCTCTGAAGTCCTCTCGTGGGGCCGGTTGTGCTCCGTTGGGAGTAAAGCAGGGAAGCACTAGAGATCAGGGAGCTCCAGGTGTGTTTTCACACACTGAAAG